GTGCTCATACCTGTGCAGGAGGGAGGGTCTGGCTGCCAGAAGAATCTGTTCTCAATCTGCACACAGGTGATTTGGGGCTCCCCTTGCAGAGCATACCCTGGGTTGCACTGGAAGGTGATGGAGTCTCCTGCCTCCTTGCTGTCCCCACTCCGACTGCCATTCTGGGGGATCCCTGGGTCATTGCAGGACGTGGCAGTGGAAACTGCAGAGTATGAAAGGCAGATATTGAGTTCAGAGATTTATTTCACCCAAGGCTCACAGCGCAAGCTCCCTCAGCCTCTGTCCTGACACAGATCTCCAAGCCATGACTTGTTCTCCCTCCCTCCTCCCTCAGCATCCCATAAAATCCTCACACACACCCAAACACTGTCTTTGCCTTTGCTCTGAGCATCTGTCACTCCAGCTGGAAAAGGCTCTGGGGAACAGCAAGTTCAAGTGCACTACACAGAGAGCAAGTCTGGTGGCTAATTGTGCTCATGCATGTTTGCTCAGGGAGGCCAGACATCCCCTGATGCTCCACTGCATCTCTCTAGGATTCTGTGTCAGGCACATCCTGCAAAATCACCTAATCCACCAGCACTTTCCACTTCCCCTGAGTGGCAAAGGAATTTAGCCTGAAGACCTGTGAAGCAGCAAGCCTGACCTTCCAGAAAGGCAGATTTCCCTCCCAGACCTGTTGCTGCCTCTCTCAGAGGTGTGAGCTGTGCCCCTGAGCTCCCTCCCAGCTGGGCACAGGCAGCACAGCTTGGCTCAGGGTTTGCCAACACAACAGCTACTTAGCAGTAAGGGCAAATCTTGGAGTAATAGAAGTTTTTGCAAGCTTATATAGCTCATTAAAGTTCCCAAGATCCCAAACTGTACACTTCTGAGCTTAGGTCTGGCTGCTTAGTCACACCTGGTGAACAAAGGCTTTGAGCTGGAGCAGTCAATAAAGCCCAGCTCCGTATCAGGCAGGGGAACAGAGCTTATTTCCTGCTAAGTTGATGAGAGTCTATTACACCCAGGCAGTTTAGAGAAAGCTGCTCTTGAAAGAGCCAGAGGAAATCCCTCTCTTTCTGTACAGCTGAAGATAAGCAAGTGAACAGCCCAGTCTGGTCCTTCCCAGCAGGGTGAGACACACGGCTGGCAAGAAAAGGGATGGTACAGCTGTGCTGGGTGACACTAAGCTCTCCCTCAGGCTGGGACATCCCTGCAGAGCTGACTTGCTCCTCCAGCCATGAAGACACCCTGGGCAGAAAGTCATGGGGAACAACTTGGCAGAGTCAGGATGATGCTGAGATGTGTCTGAGCCCCATGAAGGTCGTTCATCACTCACTCAACCACCTCCCTGCTTGCTGCCCCCTCCAGGATCAGCATCTGCTGGTTGGTTCCTGGACAAACCTGAATCCTTGGAAACCTCTGTGTGAAGAGTGGAATATATTCCCCTCATCTAATCGAAATGGCTGTGTTTGCAAGGCTGAGGGAACAGCAGCCAGGACTGAGGCAGAGACAAATTGCAGCACACAGAGCTGCTGTGAGCAATGACATCCCTCCAGCCAAAGGAGCTTTTTGTCAGCTGCACCTCAGGGGAGCCAACCTGAGGGGCTTTGAAACAGCCTTGGCTTGCAGAACCCACTGCCCAGCACCTCTCAGAGGGCCTGGGGGAAGCTGCTGCCTGTGTGCTGCTGTCCCTAAGGGACCTGGTGGAAAATAGCTGCAATTCCTAGCTGTGGATTCCACCGTGTGCTGCTCTGCAGCTCCCTGCCAAGCTCACCACTGTGAAGGTGACAGAGGAGAACAGAATCACCTGCAAGGATGAAACACAGGAGGTTTTTCCTCTGTTTGCAGAGTCTGCACAGAGTTGGGACAGCATAAAGGCTGCAAGACACACAGGTCCTGCCATGGGGCTCATCACAGTGTCACCTGCACAGCATCAGGACTTTGAGCATCACCTGGAAGCAGCACAAATGGGTTGGGTGATGCTGTCCAAGCCCACAGAGCCCACCTGAGAACTGGATGGCAAAGCCCTGCTTGCTGGTGAAGAAGTCAGTGTTGAACTGAAGGATGACAGAGTTGAAGGTGCTGTGCACATCCCCAGGGAGGTTTGAGCCACTCATCTCCTTGAGGAGGATCCCGTTCTCCACGGGCCCATCCCAGATCCGCAGCACATCGTGGAACTCCTCCGTGTGGAACACCATGAAATGGAGCCTGGGGAGGGGGAAAAAATAAAAATCAACTGAAGTTAGACCACAAACTGCTCCGGCTCTTTCCTGGAAAGGTTGGGAGTGTGATTTGTACCAGTGGTTGGTCCACTAGGAATGTGTTACCTCATCTCTAACTGAGCCTGGAATAATTCCTTCATCCCTTTCTCTGTCTCTAACCCCAAACTCTCCTAACCACATTCTTCACTGCCACAAACCAAACCAACTGAGTCATCAACCCCCAACAATCCACCACAGCCCTGAGAGCATTGGCTAAACACTGTTTGGAGTGTTTGGCCAAGCTCTGTCAGCCTTGGGGCTGTGACTGCCCTGGGGATGCAGGTGATGAATCAGGGGTTGGTCCCTTCCACTCCTGCACTTAAAACACCAACTGGAGAGGAAAGATTTAGCTGTCTCTGTTGGTCATTGCCCCATTGTCACTGGGGGAAAGACTCTCTGACATCTCAGGCCAAGGAGAGGGAACTCGTGGCACCTCAGTGTGAAACAGGGACAGAAAGCTACAAACTGAGAAAACCTGTACAAAACAAACCCATCAGGTTCTGTGCTTAAACCCTGACAGTCCAGGCAGGAAAACAAGGAAGCATTCACTTGGCTGCTTTCCCATTTATCCAGGGCAAACATAAATAAGTCAGGGAGAGCCATAAAAGGGGGGAAAAAAAGCCCCAGTGCAATGTACTCAGCAACAAAGTGATGCCCACGGAAACTGCCAGAAAGCAAAAGAGCTGAATCATAAATCCACCTCACAGAGACCTTGAGCAGAGAGAAATAAAGGCAGAGCTGGGGAAAATCAGGATGGATGGGGGCAGAGCTGTTCCCCATGGCTGCCTCGGTGCTCAGCCTAACTGGGCACAGTCAGACACAACCAGCAGGGAAAACTCATTCCTGAAGTCCTTGGAATCAGGGGGAGGCTGAGCTGGGCTGGGGGAACACTCTGGGACTGATCCCTATGGGACCAGAGCTGCCCATGGCCAACTTCAGGCAAAGCTGTGCCAGGAGGTCACCCCAGCATCACATCCAGGTGTCCCAGTGCCAAGGACACGTTGTCCAATGCCACCTGGAGCAGGAGTTGTTGGGATATGGGATTTTGTTAAGGAAACTGCCATGCTCTGGAGAAAAATCCATGAATTCCACAGGCTGTACCCAACAGGGTGAGTTCCCTCTCAGCCTGACTCTGCTCAAGGCAAGGCAGAGCTGCTGGTTTAGCAGATCATGGAGGGGAAGAGAGTTTTGGTCTTGCTCTCTGACAATCCCAATGATATGCAGGAAAATGCAGCAAAAAGCAAATTAGGAATCAGGGAAATGAATATGGGATAGAGGGAAGGTTCTGTCAGCTCAGCAAGGAGCAGAGAGGAGACACCAGCTCTGCCCTGACAATCCACATCACCCTTGGGGAGCCACTCAGCTCTTCCCAAAGCACCCCAAGACCACACTGACCCACCTGCAGTGCTTTCTGCTGACATTTCCCAGCCAAGCTCTGGCCATCCCAGCCTGGCTCTGCTGTGCCAGGGGCTGAGCTCCCACCTGGAGCTCTGAAGAGTGGAACCTGTCAAGCCTCAGCACCCATTAAACTGAGATTCACAGCACCAGTGAACTCTGAGGACACCAAAATTGCTGCTGTGGGATAACCCACCCCAACACCTCCGTGTTCTCTGCTCCCACCTGGGCAAGCAGGACCTGAAGGCAAGTCCCATTCCTTTTCCAGTGCATCCTCCTTACTCCTTCTCTTCCTCCTTGCCCAGGGAGGTGGCAGAGTTACTATCTAGGGTGTTCAGGCTCTGGAATATTGCCCAGGGAGGTGGTGGAGTCACCAGCCCTGGAGGAGTTTAAGAGGTGTCTGGATCTGGTTTAGAGTTTGAGGGTTACAGCAGTGACAGGTAACTGGTTGGACTCAATGACCTTAAAAGTCTCTTCCAGCCTTGATGACTCTGTGACTCTCTGATTCCTTCTCTCCCCAAGTGTCTCAGCTACCCCAAGTGATTTCACTTGTAATTTCATGCACGTGTGTGTTTGCACATGCACAAAATTAATCCTCTCTCCGAGTCAACCCTTTCACTTTCATGGCAATAAAGTGCAGACTCATTTTTCTCCCTGTCTCGCCTTCCTCTCCTTCCCCTCGTGCTGTGCAGATACAGCTTTATTCCAAAAGCTCTGGTGATTAATTTTCATGTAAGTTCTAAATGAGAGCTTTATACAATTGTCCCATGCGTGAAGAGGATTATTTTTTCCAATGGATTACCATAAAAATGAAGTTGCTGAAAATGTGCTCTCTCGACTCCCCAGAGATCAGCTCTTCTGTGTGAGCTGCCAAATAAAGGGGCAGAAGAAGGGAGCTCTCATCTCTGCTGAAAGGAAAGGGGCACCAGGTGTGTTGCTGTGCTACTACCTAGAATCTTTTCATTGTCTCTTGGCCCCTTCCAAGCCTTTATTTTGCCTTAATCTCCACTCGTGAGAATGCTGTGAGGGAAGCAGATAGGGATTACATGATCAAAGTTCCTATGTTGAAGCAGCTTTTGGATGGGGAGAATGGAGGTCTCATGTCTTTGTCCTATCAAACTCTTCAGCATCTTGGAGTCTTGGCCCCTTCCAAGTCTTTGCTTTGCCTAAAGCACAGAATTTTAGGGGTTGGAATGGAGCTTGGAGCTCATCCAGTCCCAACTCAATAGGCAGGGACACCTCCCACTACAAGAGGATGCTCAAGGCTTCATCCAACCTGGAATGAACATCACCAGGGTTGGGACAGCCACAGCCTCCCTGGGCAACCTGTGCCAGTGTCTCACCACCCTCACAGGGAAAACTTCTGCCTGATACCTAGCCCAGATCTCCAACTTGTGTGAGTGCTGCGAGGGAAGCAGACAGGGATCACATCACCCTTGCTTTATGCAACTAGTGATCTTTATGCACATGGAAAGAACCCCAAGCTCCAAGAAGCTGCCACAACTCACCCTATGGTGCATCCAGCTTCGGCCTCGATGGTCCAGATGCAGTTGAGGTTGTGGTCATAGGGCGTTGGGTACCCTGGAGACAGAATCCTGCCCGAGGTCTCTCCCCTGATGGTCCCTCCACACTCAGCTGCAACAGACACATGGCTTAGGGAGCAGATTCATGGCTTATTACAGCTCTTACTTGGCAGCAAAGCAAATCTCATCCTACGAGCACAACAGGGAGTATTCCTTACCATTCGGAGAAATTCTCAGAGCCTACAAAACAAGGAGTTTAATTCAGCTGAAAGGCTGAGCTATCAGGCTGGTTCTGCCTTTTTGTGCATATTCCTGACACCTAATGTGCTGTCAAAGCTTCTCTCCACCTTTCTGACTCTGCAGGAGGTAAAGGCAGAGCCTGCCAGAGTCCTGCTCCCCTGATTCACACAGGGGAGGTTAGAGCTCGAGTTTTCTGCTTGGATTCACCAGTGTGATACAACAAACAAGCCAATATATGTGTGACTCTAAGTGGACTCAAAAGAACATGAGGATTTTCCAGAATACATCCATTAAAATGCCTTAAGTTTCATGTCTTTAATTTTTCTTTAGATTCCCACATGCTCAGACGTGGTTACATACGGAATTTATGCCAAGCAAACAGGGTAAAGGTCAAGAAGATGCACAAATCACAGAAATTTGTCTTTTTCCCTCACCAAGCAAGGCTAAAACTCAGCAAAGGGATCCTGCAGGAACAGTCCTGACTCATGGGAGAACACACAGTGCCAGGGACTGAGCATGTCCCTCCCAACCACGAGATGAGGACTGAGTCTTCAGGAACTTCCCCACATGCTGGACACATCAGCTCATGATCATCAGTCAACTCACAGCCCAACAACACTTCATTTCCTACACAAAATGTAAGATCAGAACCTTCCAAGCAAGGACATCTCCTCCTGCAGAGCTACAGGTGAAAAACAACTCAGGCCTAGGCTTAGGGAAGATGGATGGAATTAAAACGTCTGAGAACGGGCTCAGATGTCGTGTAGCTCTCAACTAAACCTGACTCTGAGCTGTCAGATCCCTGGCCACGCTGATACCTGCCACTATCACCAGGTGCCACTCAGTTTAACACATCTCAGTGAAAAGGACAAGGGCTGGAAAAGCAGCAACGAAGCAAGAAACCTTGTCAGAGAGGAAGGTTTCACACTAAATCTCCTTGTAGAGTTCTCAACACCAAGATGCCTTGCACAGGGTCCTGCCTGGGGTTTAATTCGTGCAGGTGGGTGCAATTAACAGCAGAGCTGATGTCACAGGGAGCAGCAAAGGAGGGAGAAAGGGGGTTGAAGCCAATGTTAAAGGCAGAGGTGTCTCACCTACACAGGTTGGCAGGGGCTGGTCCCAAGCTCTGCGCTCCCCAGTGAGGCAGCTCAGCACTTTGCTGCCTCTCAGGGTGTACCCAGGGTCACAGCTGAAGGACACTGAGCTGCCAGCAAAGTGTCCCTCGTCGTGCACCTTGTAGCCAAACTGGGGGATCCCTGGGTCCTCACACTTAATCAGCTCGAAACCTGCAGAGGGAGGAGAGATGTTGGTGTCAGGTGTGGAACAGTCAGTCAGGAGATGTTAACACAGAGTCATGTTAGTATGTTCTTCCAGTCATTTGTTGGGGAGAAAAGCAACAGAATGAAAAGGAATGTTGGAGTGAGATCCCAGAAATCTGCTGTCTCTGGATCCAAACTTCTGGGTCTCCACAGTGTCGATCACAGCAGTAAAGGTTTGGTCATTTCCCAGGCAACAAGGGACAGATCAAGAGGAAACACCTCAAGCTGTGCCAGAGGAGGTTCAGGTTGGACCTCAGGAGGAATTTGTCCTTGGAAAGAGCTGTCAGGCATTGGAATGTGCTGCCCAGGGAGGTGGTGGAGTGACCATCCCTAGAGGTGCTCAACTGGACATGGCACTCAGTGCTCTGCTCTTAGTGGACAAGGTGGTGATGGGTCACAGCTTGGATTTGATGACCTTGTAGGGCTTTCCCAATCTCAATGATTCTGTCACCTCCCACACTCCAACACCCCTGAGGCTACGAGATCCTTACAGAAAGGACTCTTTGGTCAGGAAGCTGGAACACAATCCCACACCTTTACCCCTTGGATTAGAACTTACTGGAGAACTGCAGCTCGAAGCCCTTGCTGGTGTTGTCAGTGTTGGTGATGAACTCGAGCCACATGCTGCTGGAGGTGCTGTTGATGCTGGTGCCCAGCATGTCAGAGCGGCTGAAGGTGCCCAGAACTCGAGCTGAGCTGTTGTTGCCATCATACACCTGAGAAGGACAACACACACACACTGCAAACTCTATTCTACTGCTTCTTCAGGGACCAAAGCATCTCTGGGCCAGGCTGGGGTGCTCACTCGGGGGAAGAGAAGCTCCAGGGAGACCTTAGAGCTCCTTCCAGTACCTAAAAGAGCTCGAAGAGAGCTGAGAGGGACTTGGGACAAGGCATGGAGGGACAGGACAAGGGGCATTGGTTTCCCACTGCCAGAGAGTAGGGTTAGGTGGGAGAAATTCCTCCCTGTGAGGGTGTTGAGGCACTGGGATGGATTTCCCGCTCCATGCCTGGGAGTGTTCCAGGCCAGGCTGGATGGGGCTTGGAGCAAGCTGAGCTAGTGGAAGTTGTCCCTGCCCATGGCAGGAGGTAGAATAAGATGAGCTTTAAGGTCCTTCCAACCCAAACCATTCCATGATCCATGAGTGCAAACAGGGACAGATCCTTTGAAATCAGTGATCTCATCCCAGTTAAGAGGCTGAGTTGGTGAGATTCCATGGTGCTGCTCAGCCTGGAGGATCCACATCCTTCCCCTTCCCCCTGAGCTTACTCTGCCCTCAGAGCTGTGTCTCCTGAGCTCAGCTCTCTTTCCAGAGGAGCAGCTACTGGGAAAAGCATTTTCTCCCCAGACTCCCTCATGGATGAGCCCTGAGCCTGCTATTATTTAAGAAAAACAGAGCTGAGTTGTTTCCTTTCTCTGAGCTAGCAGGACAAAAAGCAACTCCTCACTGGTGAGGATTGATAGGAACTTTCCTCAGAAGCAGATGAGATGTTGATGACAAACCTGTCAAGAGAACATAATTTCTCTCACAACAAGTATATTCTTCACATTAACTGGAAATCTTTCTGCCTTTCCAGTCATCTGTGAGCTGAAAACATGTGGATTACACCTATCCTGGAGTGCAGGAACGTGGCACTAGGATGAGGCATCACTGGGAGATGAGCACACACAGCTTGGGGGACTAATATCTCCTTCAAACTGTGGCTTTGTGGCTCACAGAAACTCAGCCTGGATTTGCCTCCTCCCACTGAGAGTCCTGGAGCTCCTAAGTGCTGATTAACCTGAGTTTGGGAATGCTGAAGAGTCTGAAGTTCTGCCTGAAATAAAGCTGTTTTTTAGGACAAATCAGCTTTGATTCTTAAAACACTGAAATGATGCTAAACCCTTCACACTTCCTCATGTGTCAACAGTTTCTCCTGGGCAATTTTGCAGCTAAGAACTGAAGTTTAGCTGGTCCATGGGAATTTGGCTCTTCCAAGCTGCCATGGCAATCACTCACTGTCACAGTCTCTTCCAGGGATGACTATCCACTGCCAGTCCTGTCTGGGCCTGGGTGGTATTTTCCAGAGGGGATTGTGCCTGACAGAGCAGGAACACAGCAAGGACACAACCTGGTCAGCCAGTCCATGAGGAGAGGTGGGCAGTGGAAAGCCTGTGGTCAAGGAGATGCCATCCCTGCACAGCCAGAGGTGGACAGTGGAAAGCCTGTGGTCAAGGAGATGCCATCCCTGCACAGCCAGAGGTGGACAGTGGAAAGCCTGTGGTCAAGGAGATGCCATCCCTGCACAGCCAGGGGGATGGTGTGCCCCTCCTGCCTCAGTTTCCCCAGGCACTGAGCCGATGCTGTTGGCTGGGACATTTCAGTGCCCTCTCCCTGTGCACCTGTAGGGTCACTCCATCCCAGCCCTCAACAGTTTGGGACAGTGTTGCTTGGTGTGCTGCTCCCCAAGCCTATGTGGAGTTGACTCCAGACCCTGTTTACAGCTGTCAAGACTGAGGGAAACGGGCCAGCCACAAGCTTTGCTGCTAGACCCACAAGAATTACCTTGAGGACATCTCCTGCCTCCAGCTCAAACGTCCTGGCTTTCAGCTGGATCCCCTTTCCTGGCTGGGTCTGGATGGAGTAGATGCACTCGTGGTTGTTGTTATAGTTCAGTGGGTAGTTGGGGGACAGCAGAACACCTTGGGTCCCAGTGACAGAGGAGCCACACTCAGCTACAGCAAGACACAAAAGCACATGTTAACAGCCACATGGATGTTCTGCCCATGCCACACATGCAGGTGATTCCTCCAAACAGCCACAGCTGCTCACTCCTCCCTATGCCCAGGAGGAAGGAAAAGAGTCTTTTCCCTGTTGTTATTCACTACAACCTGCAGTCTTGTCCCTGTTCCATCACACTCTCCTAGCCAGACTTTCCTCCTTCACCACCAGATCTGCTTCCACTTCTACTCTGCACAGTGTGAACAGCAATTGACTTTGAGCCAAGTGGGAACTTGGAAGATTTGTGAGACTCAAAACTTGGCAGAATGATGCTCCTTAGAGAAGGGAGAGGATTGCAGATTGGAGGCACAAGCTATGCTGGATGTCAGGAGATCAGAGTTTGTGATGCTGCTGGAAAACAGCAATGACCACCTCTGTATTTCTGGGCTTTCTTTGCAAGATTTGAGGGCACAACCTCTGTGGAAAAGGGGGAGATCCCTCTAGATCCATCTCCCAGGGGAGAGATCCCTGTCCCAGGGGACACAGCCTCTGTCC